GACTGTAACATGAGAAAAGCGTGTACATTGTACTTTTTTTTTTCTTAGTTATATAATTTCCTCTTGCTTCCTATAATTTTGTCTTATCAGGCGAAATTTCAGAATAGTTCCTACCGTTATATTTCATGTAAATATATGAAATTGTCAGAGGGTCATCTGCGCACAACTAAACTCGCTCTGTCAGCAGTGTGCAGATTTTTTTCCTTTTTCTCCAACGTTGTCGAAATTACCGCGATACGTTTCGAGAGAACGTCTGTTACCGAAGAGATGGAAAAGAATGAGAACTGCCCGGAAGGATTCTTGTTCTTCTGTCGGGACGAACTTCAGAAACATTCTTGAAACACTAGTAGATGTCGTCTGATCCGAAATATACGCTACTGCCTCCACTGATGAAATCGTAGACTAAGCGTGAAATCAAGGGAATATCCCAACGATGATACTGCTTTTTTTCTCGTACGATCGGTTTGCGGTCATACATATTTGCACACGAGCTCGAACGTTGCCTCGAGGAAAGAATCGAACCGATTTTTAGCAAAGTTTCAAGCGCAGTGTATGCTTCGAACTGATATTCTTCTCCTGTCAGATTCTCGTATATATCAAGAGATCAAGACACTCCTCTCTTCGCCAGTTTCGAATTCCATCTGTCGCGTGACGCGCAATTGTTAGAAGTTCTATATTAAGACTAATCGAGAATTAAACAAAATTAAAAGGCAGATTCGATATTTTTACCGGTGACGTGTGTATTGTAAATTCTTCTGACAGTAGGAGGGTTCGAAATCGTCGAAGATTCCCCGCCAAAGGATCGATTCGTTCGTTGACAATTCGAGAAGGAATAATCGCAACGTTGATTGTCTCGTTCACGAATACCCTACGAATATGAAACTTAATTATACGTATAGCTCGCTGTATTTAACCATAACGGAAGAGTCCGAGTATAATAAGCGCGTGTCCTAGCTTTCTCCGTATTCGTGTTGCATTTTTGTAGCGGAAGTAGAGAGAGGAAGAGCAACAATCTCTCCGCTGCAAGCCAAAGTGGAGAAGAGAAACAGAACTAAGTAACTATATAAATAAAATCGCTCACGCGAGATAATCGTGCTGTAATAATCGCAGAAAAAAAAAAAAAAGTATATGTATCTATAATCGTAGTTGATTAGTGGACGTTTAGCGAGTTAAACAGCAAGAGGAAAAAAAACAGCAACACCGTTGTAACAAGACAAACACAAAACAAAACAAAACAAAACAAAAAAAGAAAAAAAAAGAGACGAACAGAATGAAGAACGATGCAAAGACGGAAGATGTGAGAGACAACAAGCTTTTGCTAGAAACGAAGAGAACTTTTCTTGGTATATACACAATTGTCAATTAGATTCAGACTGACCGCCAGGGATTGAACACGCATTAACGAAAATGTATAACCAAAGGAGAAAAAAAAAAAAAAAAAAAAAAAAAAGGAAAAAAAATAATATGAATTATGAA